GTTGTTATGAAATGTTGTATTAATATACAGATATAAGTATGGGGAGGAGAAATAGGGCAGATTATTGTTAAATCGGGAGTTATAATAATATTATTATGTTAAATTAGAAGTTATTATGCAATGCTATAGTAAAATGATATTTTGAAATGTATGGTTAAAGGGGGAAGTAATAATATTAATAATATTATTAGTAAATAAGGGTCAGTATTTAGAGGAGGGAGTAAGGGGATGGTAAAATATTATATAATCTGTTATGAATTAGGTTTTTGTTGTGAGGAAGTCATGGGGGGGATGGGTGGTGAGGGGGGGTTAGGGAGGAGGGGGGAGAAAAATGTGGGGAAAAAAATTTGTATTTGAAAAAAAGCATTAAAACATTAAATTTGTTTAAGATAAGCTTCATTTCATGAGTAATTGTATAGTTGTATTAGATTATCAACATTCTTAATAAAAATAGATAGATAGATAGATAGATAGATAGATAGATAGATAGATAATTGTACAGTATATACCGTTCTTGCCCCAGCTCCTACTTACCTAGCAGTTCGAAAGCATGCAAATGTGAGTAGATAAATAGGTACCATTCGCTGGGAAGGTAACAGTGTTCACTTTGGCATATAGACATGCTGGCCCTGCGACTACAGAAGCATCTTCAGACAATGCTGGCTCTCTCAGCTAAGAAACAGATGAGCACCACCTCCTAGAGTTGGACCGGACTGGACAGGAGAAACCTTTACCTTTATATTTAATTGTATAGTTAGATCATTATGATTGAGTGTGAATTTCATTATGGTTTATTCATTAAGCCACTACATTTATTCAGTATACTGTACCAACAAAATATATCCTTTATTTCCAAAGTGGTTTTGGAACATACACATATCTTTCAGGCATTTATTGAAAATAAGAATAAAGAGTAGGTGCCACATGCACACTTTTGCCTTCTTGCCCCCCAGTGCAGAGAGCATTCTGGGAACCATAACAATAAGTAAGAAATAATCCATAATTAATAGGTATGCCACACCCCAGGAGCTATTTTGTAACATCCATGGAATGTCATTTTTTAAAATACCTACAGATCTGAAAGTCTGATGATCATGGGAATAAAATATTTTTGGCTGGAATTGAAGATCATGCTAAACCAAAACCAAATATAGTATATTATGGTATAGCATGTTCTGTCAATTCAGATGCTGTAATATTCTTTCAGTGATCTTATTTTATACATTTTTCTTTATGCACTTCCTAAGTACAGTAATTTAATTCATATCAGAAAACCCAAAAATTCACATTTTGAATTAACATTCAAAATCAATCAACAATAAAATTATGCAAGGTGGCTCATAAATCTGTTAATAGATCCATTGTGAATTCACTGTAGAATGAAGACTATGTTAGCCAATGGCAGTGATGGCTAACCTTTTTGCCGTTGCGTGCCAAAAGCAGGAAGAGCACGGGGAGGTTGCCAACATGTGTGCCCACCCCCATAATTGCGCCCCCCAGTTTTAGCACGTGATGGCATGGTGGGCCCAGTAGCCCCGTTTTTCACCCTCCCCAGGCTCCAGATGCTTTCTAGGAGCCTGGGGAGGGTGAAAACAGCCTTCCCCACCCTCTGAGAGGCCCTCTGGAGGCTGGAAACAGCTCATTTCCCAACTTCCGGTAGGACCGGAAGGCCCAAAAATCAGCTGGCCGGCGCATGCATGTGCGCTGGAACTGAACTACGGCAATGCTCGCGTTCCCACAGATATGGTTCCGTGTGCCACCTGTGGCACCCGTGCCATAGGTTCGCCATCACGGGCCTATGGAGTCAAAAATAAGACTGTTGCATTTTTTTCAGGCTTAAAAAGTATTACAAGGTATGGTTTTTCATGACCTAGTCCTAGAGCTTACCTTAATGCATGAAGTAGTTTAACTGGTGTAGAACTTAAATTAGAATAAAGTTATGGAAGGGAGGGAAAAATAGGTTATGCAGATGAAGTTTACATGTGAAACATATCAAGTAATAGTAATATGTCAAACACTCATTTTGTTTGTTCAGATTGTGAATGGTTGAAATCTGATGTATGCAAGTTCAAGAGTCTCAGTTGTGCTGCTAATTTTTCTGAAGCAGGCTTATACATCCATAGAATAGTTTTATGGTGAACTTTTTTGAATATAGACCAAATCTATGGATGCTGGGGTGGTCGTTATTGAGATTTTGATGGAACTTTGAGATATAATTTTCCATGGATTCAGATGATGAAAATGTTAATAAATCTAAAATAATGAAGGGTTTAGGGAATAAGAGTTGTCCTGTTGTCCTGATAAAATTGTCCTGTTGATTTTCAGGAATGTGTTTCCACTAAAGATAATGTAGTTATAGTTGAGTATAGAGTTACACAATCTGTTGGCAATTTGTATGCCCTTAGGAATTTTTTTTTCATCAGATTGCATATGTCTTTCTGAGAAGTTATTGCAGGATCTGAGGATAGAAATTGGTAGAATTTGATGTTAGTTACTTCTTGGCTTTGTTGCTCATAAAGAAAGTTGTCCCTCCTTTGTCAGCTTGTTTCATTATGGTATTGTTATTCTTGAAGCTTTAGAAATATCTAGTAACTATCCACATAATGAGATCATAGGTCCAATTTGATTCCCAGCACCTATTAAAAAATTGACCACAAAAACAGAATAATAGAATAGCACTGGTTGTCAGGTACAGCTCAGCTCAACCACTCAAACACAGTCTATATTGGACAATGACATTGCAGTTTCTCAACTATGGGCAGAGATTTATACTTGCATACAGACAACCATCCAGCCGGAAGAAGTGTCTCACAAGAAACAGGACAAAGATGCTAACAAGGGAAGCAATCCCTCAACAAACCCTGACTTCTTCTTTTGTATCAAAAGAAGCAATATATTTTCCAAGAACTTCATAATGAAGATTAAAGATATCTTCACATGCTCTTACTTTAACACGATACATGCCATCATCTACCAGCAAGGATCTAGACCAGAGATGGCTAACATTTTTGCTGTTGTGTGCCAAAAGCGGGGTGTGTGTGTGTGCAGGGGGAAACATGCGTTCCCACACCCATAATGCAATGCCCCCCGCGTGCCCTGCCCGCCCACGCATGCGCGTGTGACCTCCCCACTCCCCCCACCCCCACTCATGCATGTACAACCCCCCACACTCCCCCCATTATCAAGTCACCACTGCCAAATTGCCACAAGACAGCTCCACTTGGCCAACTCAAGTTGTCCATGGGGACAACTTGCTGCAGATGGCTGGAGGTAGAGCCAGGTGGATGAGTGGGCAGGTGGCAGACTGCGGTATCGCAGCCAGGGGCTTCCCGTTTTCACCACCCTGGCACCCTGGCGAGCTCTGGGCCGAAGAGGCCAGGGATAGTGGCGTGTTTGTGTGTGAAAATGGGATGCCCCCAGCCATCACTGCCTCCCTCCCTGCTCACTGCCGTCATCATCCCCAACCTCTTAGGCCCATAGTTTTGTGCAGCTGCAGTGGCAGCAGTGGTGTGTGTGAAAGTGGGTACTTCTGACAACTGTCGCCTCCCTGCCACCCACTGCCTCTGCTGTTCCTGGTCTCTTTAGCTCAGAGCTTGGCATGGTGACAGCAATGAGGACCTGGTTTGTGGGGACAATAAGCTGACTTTGTAAAAAATATACAAAAGTATGAAGGCTATTGCTTAACGCATTGTAAGCCGCCCTGAGTCTCCGGAGAAGGATGGCATATAAATCAAATAAAAATAAAAATAAAAATGGTGGCAGCAGCAGGGGGTGTGAAAATGGGAAGCCACTGGCCGCCACCGCCACTCTGCCCACACACTTACCCTCCCACCCAGCTCTCCAACAGGCCACTGACAGGCAGACTGTGGACAAATGGAATGGAGGCAACTCTGTGCCACTGTCATCTCCCAAGAGTGGTCGGCCTATCAAGATCATACCAAGAGCAAGACATGTAATACTCTGGAGGTCTCCAAAAATACACACAAAAACCTTCAGGGTAATGTCTAAGGAACTAAAGGCTGCTTATGTATTGGTGTCAGTATTCATGAGACTGCCATCAGAACACTGAAAAAATGTGCATTGTCCCAAAGGTGGCAACTGGACTTTCTGTTTTTTCTTTGAAGATGTTCCGCTTCTCACTAAGAAACTTCTTCGGCTCTTGGATAAGAAGCAGAACGTCTTCAAACAAAAACCAGAAAGTCCAGTTGCCTCTTGAAAAAAAGCACGTTTGAGACAACCATGACCTGGACAACTGAGAATCTCCATAGACAATGATGTGCATTGCAGGATTACAAGGACAAGGACAATACTCTCAACCCTCCCCCCCCAAAAAATAAGTATTGCTCATTATCAAGCTGCTCGTTTTCAGCTGGTAAAAGACCACATGGATAAGCCAAGGTTATTGGAAGAATATTCTATGGATGGATCACACCAAAAGAGATTCTTTTATTTAAATGAAAAATGGTGGTGGTTGTATCATGATTTGGGCCAGTTTTGCAGGCCCTGGACCAGGATGACTTGCTAACATTTATGGAACAATGAATTCTGAATTGTACCAGCAAATTTTACAGGAACATCAGGATGTCAGTCCATGAACTGAAGCTCAAGAGAATGTGGGTCATGTGGCAAAACAATGACCCCCAAAACACACAAGTCGTATATACAAGAATGTTTAAAGCAGGAGAAACATAATTTTTTGTAATGGTCAGGTCAACGTCCTAACCTTAATCCAACAGAAATATTATGGAAGCATCTGAAGTGGGCAGTTCATGCAAAGAAGCCTACTAACCTCGCTGAGTTGAAGCTGTTTTTTAAGGAGGAGTGAGCCAAAATTCTTCCAAATTGATTAGCAAGTTTAATCAACAGTTATTGGAAACATTTAGTTGCACTTATTGCTGCCCAAAAGGGACATATCAGTAACTTAAGGCAAAGGTCAACATATTTTTGCCACACACTAACATGTGGGTTTGGATCATCTTCAATAAATAAATGGACAAGTATTATCTTTTTGATTTATTTAATTGGATTCTCCTTATCTAAGTTTAAGACATGTAGAGAACAGATAACATTTTAGATCATATTCATGCAAAAATATTGAAAATTCAAGAGAGTTCACAAATTTTAAACACCACTGCATCTGCAATTTGCCTTTAAAAGGTATGATTTACAACATTTCTTGGATGAGAAGGTGATACCAGACATTGAAAATTAGATTTTCTATTTCTTCCTCAAAACATTTCAAATCACATGCTCTGTACAGTATTGCAAATTCTTTCATTTGGAATTCTGAAAAAGAATTGATATTGTTAGCATACATGGCAACTCTTCCCTTTTTATTATATTGTCAGAGATGGGATAAAAGGTGACACTTGCATGATGATCATATTATCAGTCTTACAGGCTGCTATGCTTGTGTTCCTTTTGAATATTTTTCAACTGCTGTATTCCAAATAAGGGAGATGTGCTCAGATGTTATATTTTTTAATCATATTTTCCTCTTGCATTACGAGCTCAAACTCATCTTTATAAATATAAATGCATATATAATGAAAGTGATCTTTCACTTGAAACAAGTATCTTTTCCTCCTACACAACTGTATGCTTTAACACCAGGCACTTTTTTACTAATTTTATGCTGGTGCTAAAGTTGCCATTATTTTTCTGCCACCATTGCATGCAATTTATTCAAGCTTTATCAAGAGTCTTGAAGACCAGCTTCTGAAGAACAAAACCCAAATATAACTCATCATGATTTGTTTGCTAATGATTTTGCAACTGTGAGAGATAATACCTGTATTTCCTGATATTTTAAAAAACTATTATGAAAAAGCACTACTAAAATATACCAATGAAAAGTAAGATTAAATGATTTAACAAGAATACACATGTAAACATGGGCTCATGTTTGGTCTTTTCTGGAATGTAGCTGTGGCACCCTACTCTGAATGGATGTTCACATAATGAAGATAAGTTTGTCCCATTCTGTTTGTGCATTTAATAGTGGACAAAAGTTTGGAAACGAGTAACTAACCAATATAAAGGTGGAGAAATCAAAGTAATTTGCTGACTGAAAAAATATAGAGGAAGGAATGTTAAGATGTTAAAATCTTGAAAAAAAAGATTTCTATCAAGTAGGTATTGTCTTAGAAATGCCAAGCTAGTATTCCTAGGAGCTGTACAAAAAACATACCTAGAAGAAATAACGTTGCTTCCGACTATAGTTATAGTAATGTCTTTCAACCGTAGTCACTTTAAGAGATGTGGACTGCAACTCCCAGAATTCCCCAGCCAGCATTGCTGGGGAATTTAAAGTGGCTGAAGCTGAGAAACACTGGTATATATTACCATTCCACGAAAAATCAAGCTCATCATTCTACTCCAATACATAAACAGGCGGAGTACTGGAAACGACGCTCACAAGAACAGCCCAAAGTGTGACAAACGGCAGGCGGAATCAGCCCCACAGCAAGCTCCGCCCTTTACTACCCTCGTTGGTTTCTGTCACTACTTACTGCGCAAACTCCTAATCCTCCTTTCCCTGCGCATGCGTTGAGCCGCCGTGACCGGTGAGATTCGGTTGGGTGGGGGTTGTTGTGAAGCTGCTGGGAACACGTGAAGCAACGTCATCATAAACATTAGTAGCTAAGATGGCAGCTCCGGCAGGGGGAAAGGTAAGGGAGAGGAATACAATCTTTGAGACGCGGTGACTGTAATGTTGCCTTGGGAGCAGAGTACATTTCATTATGGGAGCTCTATAACGGTTGGGACGGAAATCCCGGACTGAGCTGGGAGGATGTCAGGCCGCTGGCTGAACCGGTCTTGCTTCGAGGGGTGTCCTCCAGATACGTCGGGGCAAATAGCCCGCAGACCTCGGGCGGGGCTGGATGTGGTGTCAACGGAGGCCCGAGGCTGAGGCGTTTTGCCCTCGTTTGAAGAGGAGGACCGCCTCTTGACCTGTCGGAATCGGGACAGGTGTAATTTTTCCCGCATCTGTGATCAGGTCGCGGTTAAAAGGAAGGGCATGCCTTGGTGCTGTTGAAAAGGGAAGTAGTGCAAAGGAGGTTTGGGGAAGAGAACATACCCTCATAGGGTCACTAGAAGGCTTTCCTTTTACGGTTTTGTGTAACTTTCCTGTTTATATGTACCTCTCTGAATGAATTGTCAGATGGAAGCCAGCCCATCCTTTTTACTGCATTCTGACCTGTTAGGCTTGTAGCTTTTCGACTGATTCTTTCAAAGGAGCTGTCTGTGATATGGTTAAAATGCAGGGGGAAAAAACCCTGATTTACAAAACTTCCCAATACAAATCTGTCATTTTTTTGTTGATTCTGGTATTTTTTTAAAAAATGATATTGATAAATATCTGACAAATAGACATCTGATAAATAGATGGAAGGTGGGCTACTGAGGTGCTTAGGTTCTAATGAATTAAAATAGAAATGGTTTCTAAAAGGGGGCATTTTTTCATCGTATCATTGTCATATTTATATGGTTGGGTATATATAAGTGATGTACAGAATTGGGTAGTCATCCACTTTTACATTTAGATCATTTTCAGTGGTAGCACAACTGTTTCTGTTTCTCAGATATTTAATTCTTCTCCTAAGCTACTAATACTTCTCAGAGTAGAATATTTCCAGTAACTAGGAATCAGCTTTGGATTATAGCTTTCAATCCATTCTGATTCAATAAACAAATACCTGAACTCAAAAAATTTATTTGTATTGCTTAATGATATAACTTACAGTGTAAAAAGAAAAGAAATACAAACAAAACAAAGCATATACCTAAAAACACATTGCAAGAAGTATGTAAAAGCAACTCAGTTTTAAACAACACATTAAATCTAAACTGCATAATATATCAATCAGTTTTCTCATTAGAGATAGGTTGAGAATGAATGGATTTTAGATCTAGGTGATAATTTTTGTGAACACAGCAAACTTATTTTGGCTCCTCTCCCCAAGGTAGCTAAAATTCATCAGTTGATAAATCTCAAGTTTTCATTATTTATTTATTTATTTATTTTTAAATTTATATACCGCCCTTCTCCCTGAGAACTCAGGGTGGTGTACAGCCAGAATTAAAAACATGAAATACAAATATTAAAAACAATTAATATATATATAAATTTGGCCCAAAATTAAAAATACAAACCAATTAAAACATTTAAAATTTCTTCTTATTCAACTTTGTACCAATTTTTAAACCTTATATATCTTCCTAAATTCATATTAGCCATTGCATAATTATTAAACTAAAATGACAATTATAGGGCATGTGTTAGTGTTCTCAAATTTATTACATTACTAGCATAAAAAGTTTTATGCACAGTCCTTCTTAAATGGCCACTGAGATGTTCAGCAAACATAAAAATAGTTTAATGAAACTCATGTTAAGATCATAAGAACTTTTATTTTAAGACAATTGATTTATGGTGTTGCAACCCTTCACAGAGTTCTTGCAAACTATAAAATATATCTTAATAATACTTTTCATATATCTTTACACGTAAACTTGTAAAACTTGTAAAATTCCTTCTTTCAATAGAAGGAATGCACCATTTTCTTAAGCTGCTTATGTATCATATCAAAATTGAGAAATCAAAATAGGTTTAAATTGAATGTAGCACCTTTCAGTAATTTTAGGAAATCCAAATTCTTCTTAGAGTACATGTAATATTTTACGGAATGTTTCCAAGTTGGCTCAAAATATGAATAGTTTTTTCTGTCTAAATATTTGTTTTAAAATATTTTGCAGTGATTTTTCAAGTTAAAATTATTCCAAAATGTTTCAAATGAACAGAGATTGAATTTCCATCCACAAATTCCAAAATCATCAAACCTTGGTCATTACAGAAAATACCCTAAATATTTGCAAATGGCAAAAAATATGTTTTATTCCAGCCCACTGTATCCACAAAATATCTTTTGATTACATAATAAAACAAGCTGTTGGATCCAAAGACAAATTAATAAAAGACATCCTTGATAAATTTCACAGAACTTCTTCATGCTGAGGTTCTCAAACAGTAATCAGAGCTAGGATTCCAGCATGTTTTATCCTTGGCCAAAATATCTTCTGCTGCTTTTCGCCAGAAGCTTTCCTCTCTCCTCCAGAAATGGGTTGAGTTACTCCAGCAACTAAGTTAAAAATAACCATGGCAATATTGCCCAAAAGACATTGACAAGGAGGCTGAATCTACTTCAGTTTGAGGGAAAGGCAGTGCTAACTCATTCCATACATAATATCCAGGCTGACATCTGTTCGTGTCTTGACTTAGACTGTAGTTTCTATACTATACTTACCGATTACAGTTACTGAGGTGGAAAGAAGAATGTCTGCAGGACTGGTTTAAGCTGGAGTTGGCCACCCTAGGTTGACAACATATCGGAGGTAGATAGGTTACAGAATTTTTATATGTTTTTTCTCTCTTCTCCCACCAAATTTTCCTTTGGAGATCATTTCAAATTTACTAGGGTTATGCTGGCTGGTAACTTCTGATATGGTATATAGTATATTGATAAGATTTGTTTAGGAATGAAAAGAAAGTTCACTTATATTTATTCATTAAGTTATTATTATTTATTTATATTTATATCTAATTATTATTCATTATTCACTTTAACATAAGGTTTGAAATTCTTAATCTTAATGTGCAAAGAAATAATTATATTGTAATAATGCTATCTGAAAAAAAATAAGGTACTACCAGTACAGTTACTCTAAATACTAAACAGGTGAATCCATTTTTATCAGTCATTCCAGAAATTAAATCGGTACAATAGAGAACCTCTGTATACCATGAAGTCACTGCGTTGATTCAGGGTTTTCTGCCTGCATTTCTATTTCTAAAATATCAACGAACAGATATTTCCTGAAACTTGTCACCTTTTTATAAAACCAGATTGTGTAAAATGAATTTCAGGAGTAATATATCAGAGTAATATAGTTTTTAATCTTGGCATTCCTTGTCTTGCCTTTTGTATCAGGTTAGTTCATTAGTTCTTAACCTTTTCTTCACAGACACCTTTAAATATCTTTTGTGGCCATGGACCTCCAAGACAATTCAATATTTAAATCATAACATTTCAAGCCTTCATGGACCTCCTATGACAACATTGCAGACCCCCAGAGGTCCGCCGTCCACAGGTTGAGAACCACTGGGTTAGTTAATGATTTAAATTACTAGTAAAAAGGCTTGATTTAAATCAACTCAATTTAAATCATAATTTTTAAAGAGCAACTGTCATCTCTGTCGCACAGTGGCTCCTCTGCCCCCGCTGTTGACTCACCAACAGTCCCATTCACTTTAATGGGACAGCTGGTGATGTGGCAGTAACACAACAAGGTGAGGGATGTGGCGGGCAGCAGGTGAGTGGATGCCTGCTAACAGGCGCTGCCATGATGGATCTGAAATGACAGGTGCTTTTTAAATGTAAGGACTCATTCTTGCTGGTAGTTAAAATCTTTAATATTATTATTTGCAAACAAAATGAAGGTTTCCTATTTAGCTTGCAGAGCTTGGATTCATTGAGTCAGTTTACCAAAAATGTAAATATTACAGAATATACAGCCTTATGCTATAAAACTAAGCTCCATTTCCTGCTGAGTAAACTAAATTATTCATGTATTTTAGAAAACTATGTTTATATAGATTTTTGCTCCAAAAGCATTTTATTAAAATAAATTTGATAAAAATAAAAAAATCCAATTTAAAATTTAAAAATGTGATTTTTATTTTTATTTTTTTTAAAAAACCCCATCGATTTTTATCCACCCTGGGTCTCATGAGCCTAAGCAAACCTAAAAGCCTCCCATCTTTGGTACAGAGAAATATAGCACTTCGTTTGGAGATGGGGAAAATCCTCAAATATTTCTTTCACTTGTATTCATTGTTAAAGTTACAGGATTATCATGACAGAATTGGTAGAAAGTTATGTTATCCTGCAATGGTATGTGTTCGTTCATTTTATGATATTATAAATGCGAAACAGTGAATTGGCTGGTGTGATGTAGGAAAGTTTAACTCCATTCACTTTTGCTTGGTTTCTGAAGCAATGATTTATTTTGAGCAGAGGCATATGTGCATATGAGTGTTACATGTGAACCTGAAAATGGTCATGTGTTGCCAGTGCCATGATTTAAGGCTTAGACAACTGGACAAGAAGTGAAAGTGTTAGATCTAACACTTTCAGATTAATTTTCTAAAATATAAGCAAGTCCAAATTAGTTTAACTTGAATTTAATGAAATAGATTCATAAACATAGAATATATCTTAAAATATTTAAAGGCATGTCTCTTCCCATTTGTTCCTGTCCTTGAAAGCCTATTCCAAGGGTCCATGCCCTCTGAAGTGTGGGGAGTGGCTGATGGAAGTGGTCTTTTTTAAGGGTTGCTTATTTCCATATGAAGCATTATTTTCTCAGAACTTTTAGTTATTTTTCTATTTGAGCTTCTGTGTAGCATTCTGTTTTAACTAGCCTGCCTTTTTTATTTCTGATATTATTTAAAAGCTTTAAATTGATAGCTTTTTATTTTAATAGTTCCTTGCCTTGTGACTAACATGCTTTAGGAATCAATAAAAATGGAATAAACTGTTTCTGAGCTCTTGATTTTAACATAGCTTGTATTGCAAAACTAGTCTTGTTTATTTTTCCATCCATATCATTATATCCCCAGGCATGCAATGTTCTATTCTAATAGAAAGTCTGCCCAATTTATTACTTGACTGGGCTAGTGAGTATGCAATATAAGCTTGTCATTTTCTCTGAAAGACCCAAATTGCATTACAGTAATTGGTTTTGTCCCCAGAGCAGGTTCAAAGCTCTTAATGAAACAACTTAATTTGTTATTTTTATTTTTTATCTTTTAGATTATATATGAACAAGAAGGAGTTTTCATTCATTCTTCAAGTGAAAATGATGAAGATCATGATGCTTTACAATCTGGGTTATTGCGAGTCATTGAAAAGCTTACACATCAAAATGTAGGGTTTTCTCTTTTGAATATAACTGTATAGTATGTTTCCTGTGAATTTACCTTCTACCGTTTATGAAAGATTACAGATTGTTTGTATAGAATAAATTAATATTTTGTAAATAGAAACATATGACATTACTGACTTACTTTTTGAAAAATTGCATCATTTGTGTTTTAGAGCACTGAGGTGATAATAGATTGGAGACCTCTAGATGATTCACTAGACTCTTCTAACATTCTATATGCTAAAAAGGTACGTTGGTTATTTGTAGCATTTTTTGTTAAAGCTTTAGAAGTATACCTTAGAAAACTGAAATAAAAATAAAATGAAGGTTGAAACAATCAGATTGCCTCACAAATATTCTCTTCGTGTTTTATCAAAGAGACTAAAGGTGGGGCAACTTTAATTTTCTTTCTCACACTATCTTGTTTTCCCAGGCTTAGCTCATGTTTTCTAATAGTCTCCTTCTCATAGGTCATCCCTCTGGTCCTTTACAAGGATGGGTAGTATTTTGATTCTTAATCTTTTTAGAAAACAGAGGATCAGAATTTGTGAGTGTTGATGCAGATGCCATATAACCATGTGACTGTTTTTCTGTGATTTTCTTTTTTAATTGCTTTATCTTTATAGTAAGCTAAGTGATAAGAAACAACAGTGTGACTTTTGAATTAACGGAATTATGGAGACTGCAAAAATTGAGTGAGGACTAGTTTCTCAGTCATGATCTTGAAGATGGCAGATTGTCTTTCCAAGCCTAAAAGGTTATTTGCACCATCCAATAATATATTATCTTGGGAGGAGAAGAACTTAGAAAAATTAATTCCTTATCTCTGGTGGGTGTAATCACTACAGAAAGCAATAATACATAGCACAATTGCTATGTATATTTATTGAATCAAAGCTTGAATACAGTTGTCCCTTTAATATATTTCTCTATTCTGGCATATCTAACTGGAGATACAAATTATTGTCAATATGATTTTAATTATCAGGTTATTTCATTTAATACTCAATTCCCAAACATCTTGTACTTCCTTGATTTTCTAATGTTGAAAAGATAACAAGAAATAACAGATAAAAAGCAGCAAATAAAACAGCAAATTGTAGAATGTTTTATATTTTATACAGACCCTTATATACTTCACATACTTTTCACATCTTACATATAAAATTTCTCTTTGTCTTCAGTTACAATGATAATGAACTTTGCAACCAATGCTTGCATTTACAACCTTTATAAGTCTGTAAAGCAAAGGGAAGGGAAGTAAGATTGTAAGCACAGACACGATTTCACTTGGTGACTGCTTCACTTAATGACTGAATTGCTGGTGCCAATAGTATTCCTAAACAAGGATTATTTGTAGTGCAATCTTGTGTTCTTCTGTTGAGAATTAAGCTTCAGTGGGTTTTATATTCAGGTAAGTGTCTTTAGGATAACAGCCTAACACTGCAGTTCTGTCACTGTGTATCAAAAATACCCAAAATGAATACAGTGTAATTACTTAATGTCATACCAATCTCACTAAATCAAATGAAGATAGATACAACAAGATATATTTTACTGACAGTGATCACTGGGCTTCTTGCCAAAAGAAAACGGAGAATTACAAAGTCCACAAGTTTATAGCTGATGCACTCTGAAATGATACATAGAACTCCTTTACAGCAGAAATGTAGAACTTGATAATAACATGGGTTGACCTTAATATGGGCTGACCTGCTGTATATATTGTATATTCTGCTTTTCTGAGCCGGCTCCAAACCTGCCTTTTCTACTGATAGCACTTGCTAACATAAACAGTGTCCATTATTGTACCCATAGTTTGACTTCCTTCACAGAAAAAAACAACCTGATTTTTTAAATCTGTCTCCTACCTGTCCAGAATTTCAGTTTACCTGCTTTGCCTAATCTGCACTTCAGAACCATACTATATATGTAAAGCAAGAATATTATTTGTCCCTCACACCAGAGGAAGACGCAGCTTACAAAACAGAACTTCTCTTTGTTTTCTATTTTGTAATCTAAATGTGTTGGACTCTGACAAGCTGCTTTTGATTAATCTGCTGATAGAGAACTGTTACAATTTTAGAACACTTCTTGGGGAATGATCAGCTGCCCATTGTTCCATTCTCGATCATGGAAATTCATATCTTTAATTCTTGGTATTTTTATCTGTCATAATTTGGTGTTCTCCTACTCTGGTACATCAGTATTTTAATTGACCCTGCTATGCTATTGCATTTTCATGCACATTTGCATTCATATGAATTGTATGTCCTTCATTAGCCTGAATATTCATCTTACAGTTCACTAAACTTTTATAGTTTATATTTCATTATTATCCATCATGCTTATTTGCTGGATAAGCCTACAAAATGATTACAGTATGTTG